CGAAGTGTGACGTGCCGTCGCGCCTCTGAGCACACACTGTTGATAGGCCGAAGTCCGAAGACGGCGTTTCGCAGGTGAATCGTCCGGCGCGAATAATTTGCGCAGAGTTTCGGCGAAGGCGTTGAAGAGGCTCGACGCAACGATGGTCCTCCTTGGTGCTGCTGCTTGGTGAGACCGCAGAGGGATTGAATAGAATAGTTGCCGCAAGAATATAAAAATCACTTGGATTATGTAAAGAAGCCGAAGTGAAAGAGTGTCCCTCCCCTCTGGCCCAATTTCGCGGCACGGTAATGCTGGCTGTTTTCCGTGCGCAAGCATCGATGGGACGCTGACCGCAACCATTAGCTCGTTTGGCCGCAAGAGCTCTCGCCAAGGACTAGATTTCATTGTCTTCTTCCATTTCTCCATCACGACGACTCTCGAAGCTAGGAAATCGAATGATCGATTGATTGGTACCGCTCCCACGTCCAGCCACGGCGCAATGTGATATGTTTCTCAGATAAGTAGCTATAACATGCGAAGGAGAACAGTACAAGGGGTAACGTACTAATATGGGCAGCAAATATGGACAGGCTCGTGGCCAGCCATCGAGAATACGAGCTCTGGCGACGGCTGAATTCCAATCGGCGCGTCATGTCCATAGAAGCTGGGCGATCCGATGACGAGGCGCTTCGCAGCTGCTGCTACATGTGTATGACAGGTTGGCCGGGGAGGTGATGGAGTATCCCTAAAGTCCGGCAAAAGGATTGGTCAAAATAGATGAATTGCGCGTGCGTGATTGGAGGGAGGACCAGAAGATCGCAATGCCGAGGTGTGATTGGCCATGACAAATCACTTTCGTTGGGACTGGCCTGAAGGGTCGGACGAGACAAGCGGCGAAAGAAACAGTTTAGATATCATGGCCAAGATGTACCGCCGTCCGCCAGGCCGTCCGCGAACCTTTTTACTACGTAGTACACAGCTCTGCGACGGACCTCTATGACGCTTCACCGCGTGTCCACAACAATGTGGCGGCGAGGACAGCCATAGGATGCGTGTCATACATGCTCTGTGAGTACTGTGCCAATAAGCTTGAACCATATTTGACTTCGATGAACGGTGGTGGAACGTCCTATAAATTCCAGCGGTAGCGGTAGCCTAGCTCAACGCTGGCTGAATGACGTCAGCTTCATGAAAGAGACTTTTTTGTTCTGTCCAGTGCAACGGCGCTGCCCCGAGAAAACTGTCGAAGATGAGGAATTAGGTCGACGGTGCGAGAAGTTGCGACGAGCGCCATATCGCCCAGCGCGTCAACTGCGTCAAGGCCTCGGATTTCTGAGGCGTGCGACATGCGCAGTCTTTGAGTGTATCACACATTGGATCAGCTATGACTCGTGCAACGTGTCTGTGATGCCCTAGGCCAGCTACAGCACTGCACACTCTACTCGTGAACCCATGCAGACGGAGGGTTGACTCATTCATCTCTGAATACTCGACGATGGAGGCTAATCATTTCCTGTGGCCTTTGGAGCTGGACCCAACTGACACCACGTCGTCGTTGTCGTGAATTTCCTTGATAAAGTCGTCGTCGTCTTCGCTCTCGGGCTCCTTCTCGCTGCGCGGCGCCTTGCTCTCGCGCATCGAGCCTTTCCCGATCGAGCTCATGGATTTGAGCGATGTGATCGATTTGTTGGACGACGGTTTGCGCAACTCGCCCTTGGGCAGGGCCTTGCTTTCGTCGTCGCTTCGCTTGGAAATGCCATTGGGTTTTGGAATGCCCGAGGCAGGGCCATCCAATGACATGTCGGACGCCGACGAGCCGCGCGAGAGGGACGGCTTCTTCGTCTCCCGTTGTGTCAACGGCTCGTTTGTGGTCGGCTTCTTGGTCTTCTCCAGTGTCGACGTTCGTGACACTGCCTTTTTGAAGGTTGCCGTCGCGTCGATCTTGGACTCGGCCTTTGTCTCGGGCTTTGGGATCAAGCTTGGCTTCGTCTCGAGGCCGACGGGGTCGGGTGTGTCGGTCGTCTCTTGGTTTGTCGGTGACCGCACGCTGCCCTCTTTTAGCTCCCACGACACGGGCTGGCGCGGCGAGTGTGGCAGTGACTGACGCACCATTTCCCACTTCATCGCTTTCATGCGCTCCTCGCACTTGGCTGCTACTTGGCTCTTCTCGTGCGCTTCAATGTGGGCCGTCGCGACCTGCACCACCGTCAGAGTGATTCGATGATGTCGTCAATAGATTCTCACCATTTCTTCAAGGACCGTGACCTTGTACTGTAGCATACGCCGCTCGTCCTGGAGCTTGAGGAGCTCGTCCGCATGCGCCTTCTCGGCCTCCTTGAGCGCAGCGAGCTCTCGCTTGACCGTGCTCGAGGTGCAGCCCATCGCAAGCTATTTTGGAGCGCTCTATTTTTGTGGTGGATACGATTCTGACGTGGCCGAGGCAGGTGCGACCGCGCTAGTCCAGTGGCTCTCACGAGCGCTGCGCTGGAGATATGGTGTACTGGACTCTGAAGTTCTACATAGAACGGCAACTGGATGGCGTACGTGGCGACTCGAAGACACCATCGTCAACGAGGCAGCCCTGGACATCTTCTTTCAAGATTAGACCCCGCCACATATCGATAGTGATGAGGTTTGCGACAGAGTGCACTAGGGCTTGATCCAAAGCTTCGACGCAGCGACCTCTGGCAGACAGCTTTGCATGTGTTGAAACAGCAACCCCATGTATTCAAAACGGTATCATTCGATGTTGCACACAGCAAAAAGACGCTTACGCAGTGGGCGACGCGCTGAACCACTCCTTGAACTCGTCAAACGAGATCTCGCCGTTGCCGTCCTTGTCGGCGTCGGCGAACGCCTGCTTGGCCGTGATCTGCGCGAGGTCGACCGACGGAATGCCACCCATGGCCGCTTGGCGCATCGGGTCCAGGGCAAAGACAACAGCAAAGACGCACGTAAAGTAGTCGATCATCTCCTCCAACGAGAGCACACCGTCGCCGTTCGTGTCGTAGAGCTGGAAGGCGGCGTGGACCTTGACCTCTTGCGGGTCCTTGGAGAAGACCGAGAGGCCGCAGGCGAGGCGGCGGAACTCGACCGTGTCGGGCCCACTCGCAAGGACGTCGAAGAGGCGGTTGATGATGACCTTGATGCGCTGGGCCTCGGCGGGCGCCGACT